AATTAAAATATATGAGCTATGTAAAACCTAGTTAAAATCTGAAGTTACTATGTGCATGTAAGGTAGTTTCTCAAAGGGATAGCTTTTGCTGCCTTAGTTATTTGTGGGATTTCTCTGAGTGAATTTCAAGATATCTGATGTGGCACCTTTTGGCAACGGGGGGGAGGAGAGGAAGGTGCTATAGCTCTGGAGTTTTGTTTCTTCTCAACTCTTAGCAATGTACAACTAAGAAATTTAAGAGCCAGTAAAAAAAAGGAGATACTGTATCTGACTGAAACCATTTGTGGGTCTCCCCGATGTATGAAGAAAGCCAACAGAAAATGTCTTGAGATTTTATCCTTATTTCATGCTCTATGTTATTTCATAAAGAAGTTGACTTGCCCCCGAAGTCATTAGTGGCATTTACTTCAATAATCCTAGAATTCGTATTTCAACTCAAGTGACTTCCTTACGTAAGATTTTCCTGAACCCCTCATCAGGTCAAATCCTACATTTCCTTTCCCAGAACCATTAGACTTTTACATTTTAAAAAAAAAAACAGTTTGATTAATCTATCAAATCTCTCCAGAACTCTAGAATGCAGTTCTCTGTGAGCACAGGAATACCTGGTTTTGCTCACCACAAATCCACACGGCCCAGAACGGAGTCTTGTGTAAAACAGGTACTCAAAAAGACAAAGACCTGATAAGTAAATGATTACAGATGCCACTTTTCCCTAAGGGCATTCATTGGGTTTAACAAATTCCAATTTTAATTTTGGTGATTTAGGAAGAGAAATCACCTCACAAAGTGGAAAGTCTAACGAGACAGGCTCCTTTCAACAAAGTGGAACCCAATGGCTACACAAGGAGAGTGAATTAGAAATGAACTAGGCTTTATAAGGAATTTAAGTTTGAGATTAACCTGGGTATTCTAGAAAACTTCAAGCCATGATCTAACCAGTATGGTGGTGAAATAGCACCAGGCACTTGGCAGAAGCAAAAACAAATTCTTGTATTAATCATACAAATAAATTTTCAAGGGTCATGACCAGCACATAGTCAAATATAATCAGGTACACAAGGAAACATAACATCATAAGTACAAGTCAGCAGGGCCATAGATAACAAAAACAGACACATAAAAACTTTAGATGTTAGGGGGATCCCTGAGTGGCTCAGCGATTTAGTTTAGTTTAGTTTAGCCTTTGGCCCAGAGCATGATCCTGGAGTCCGGGGATCAAGTCCTACGTCGGGCTCCCTGCACGGAGCCTGCTTCTCTCTCTGCCTGTGTCTCTGCCTCTCTCTCTCTTTATCTCTCATGAATAAATAAATAAAATCTTAAAAAAAAACTTTAGATGTTAGAATTATTATAGTGCAAATACTTGGAAGTTAAGAAATATACTTCTACTCTTCTTCATGATAGGAATTAGAATATTTTTTTGAGCCAAAGGATGATGAAAATACCACATACCAATACTTGTGGTAAAATGGTCAAGCTACTTCAAAAAATAGCTTGGCAACTCCTCAAAAAGTTAAACATAAGAGTTACCATATGACCCAGAAATTCTACTCCTAGATATATATCCAAGAGAATGGAAAACATATGTTCACACAAATATTCATAGCAGCATTATTCATAGTAGCCAAAAAGTGCAAACAACCCAAATGTCCCTCAACTGAACAGATAAACAAAATGTGGTATATCCATACAATGCAGTATTATTCAGACATAAAAAGGAATAAGAACTCATAGGTGTTAAAACATGGTTGAACTCCCAAAGCATTATGCTAAGTGAAAGAAATTAGACGCAAAATCACATATGATTCTGTTTATATGAAATATCCAGAATAGGCAAATTCATGGAAACAGTCAATTAGGGGTTGGCAGGAGCTTGAAGGACGGGAAAACGGGGAGAGGATGCTAATGAGTGGGGGATGTCTTTTTGTGGTGATGAAACTGTTCTAGAATGAGATAGTGATGGTTGTGTAACTGTGAATATACTAAAACCACTGAACTTTATACCTTAAAAAGGTAAATTTTGTAGTATGTGAATTATATCTCAATTTTATTTTTTTTTCAATTTTATAATTTTGTGGATTTCAATTAAGGGAAATTCATAGTCTTAAGTGCATATATTCTTGATAGCTTGCTGGTAAGAGTACTCTCTAGTTTCCTTATTATTTGTACTAGTAAGAATTCTATACTAGTTTGCTTAATGTTACTAGTAAAGTTATGCTTGAAAATATCTGCAAGAAACATGGACCTATGAAGAGGTTTTTATTTTTATTTTTTTAAAGATTTTATTTATTTATTTATGAGAGAGAGAGAGAGAGAGAGAGAGAGAGAGAGAAGGGCACAGAGAGAGAGAGGCAAGAGGCAGAGGCAGAGGGAGAAGCAGGCTCCATGCAGGGAGCCTGATGTGGGACTCAATCCCGGCACTCCGGGATCATACCCTGGGATGAAGGCAGGTGCTAAACCACTGAGCCACCCAGGCATCCCTGAAAATTTTTTTAAAAGAATATTTTAAAAGATTTTTAAAAGGACCAAGCAGAATTCTAGAAATGAAAAGAGGAAGAACTGAACTAAAAATCTAATGGATTTAACCACAGATTAGACACAGCTGAAGAGAGAACTGGCTAATTGGAAGGTAGGCAGGCAAATTACCCTGATTCACATAGTAAGTATGTTGCAGTATTTAAAAACTGGCAAAAAGGTCCCATTTCCAATAGCAGAAAAATATCAAGCATGAAAGGATTAAGTCTTTGAAAAAGAAATAGAAGCCCTCTGTGGGGGTGATTATGAGTTTACTGAAGAACATTAAGAGAACATATAAATGAACGTAGAGATATACCACACCCATGGATTGGAAGACTAAACATAAAATTTATAAGAGAAGACTCATATACCATGCTCCTAGATTAGATTAAATTTGTAAAAAATTTCTTTAAATTGAAGAATAAATTTAATGCACATTGATCAAAATCTAATAGGGCTTTGAATCACTATCTTGTACACCTGAAACTAATATTACACTGCATTTTAACTAATTTAAACAAAAACTTTAAAAAATCTAATAGGATTTGGAAAGACTTGAAAATGTGCTTTCAAATGCATATGGAAAAGGAAAGGGCCAAGAAGAGAAAAACACTCTGGGCTTCCAAACACTACACACTATATTTATTGTTTTGTTCCTACCTTAGTGGTAGCTCCTTCTCACCTCATTCATTGATTCCTCAACTTCTTGATCTTCTTCTGTTAAGAATGCCCTGGGGTTCAGGCCTTCAACTTCTCTCCACTATCATACTCACTTCTTTGGCAATTTTATCCAGTCTCATAGCTTTAAATAACCGCCAATTACTAACCCCCAGCCTCCATTCCAATCTCTCTCTCAGACTTAACTCTCAGATCCAATTGTTTACTTGATATCTCCTCTTCAGTTATCTAACAGATATCTGAGATTTAACCTATTTAAAACTGAATGCCTCAAAATTTTCCCTATCTGCAATCTTCCTTATTTCAGTTGACAGGCAAGTTCATCTTGAATTTCAATTGCTCAATCCAAAACCTTGGGTTCAGCTGTGACTCTTCACTCTCATATATTTTATTCAGCCCATCATTTAGCAATTCTCTAAATGAATCATTTCTCATGTACCTTCACTATGTTTACCCTGGTGTGATCCACTATCAACTCTTATCTGGATGACTGCAATAGCCTTCTGATTGGCTTACCTGCCTCACCCCATGTCCCTGCATCCCTCTCTCCCCCAAAGCCAACATGATCATTTAGAACCCTAAGATCATTTTCCACCCTAAAACCTTGTCAGTTTTTATTTCATTGGGTAAAGGCCAAAATCTCTAACAATGGTTTTTTTAGAATCTATGTCATCTGGCACTACTCCTTGCTCTTTCCTCCATGACCTTAAATCTCCTACTATTTTCCCCTTTCCTAACTTCACAGCAGCCCCAGTGGCTTCCTTGCTATTCCTCAAATGTACCAAACCTTCTCCCATGTCACAGTCTTCACATGAACATTTCCACTTGCAGTCCCCTTTAGTTCTTAACCCAGTTCACACAGTGAAAATCAGTTTGGGTTTGGGAGTGCACCCAGCATTAGAATATTTTTGAAATGTCCCATATTTCTTCAAAATAATCAGGAATTATTTTAGCTTTTAGTTGGTAATTGTCAAAACTGAATGATGGGTCATGGAGTCTTTTGCACTGTCCTTTAAAATTAATATAAAACAAAATAAAAGCATCTCTGGTGATTTTAATGTGTAGTAGGATTGAGAAGTACTGGTCTGTGACCCCCAAACTAGATCATTTTCCCAGAGATATAATAAAATTGAGACATTTCTACTTGAATTTCTCTCTTAATGAATTAAAAAGATATATATAAGATGAAAAATACCAAATTTATTTCCCAAATACAAGAAAAAAGTATCCATTTGAATTCACTTTGCAATATACATTAACAATAAAAACTCCTGTTCCATGTCCCACTTGTCTCAACCCCCAACCAATGGCGGCAGCCACAAGAAGGGAAAGATTGCTGGCTGGCCCTTGGTTTGCAGAATCTGAAACTTGGCACAAGAGCATTGGAAACATCTACCCCAGGCTCTATGAAGGGCTTCTTATTGCCCTGCTTGTCCAAACGCTCTAGAATAGCCATTTGCGGTTGAAGGTCTTACCACAACTTCCACTAATGTTTAAGGTATTTTAAGGTAAAGTCCAGAGCATAGAAGAATGAAATTCTCTTCAGTTGCAAAGGAACATTAGTTCATATCTAAATGTGATAAGATTATCAAAGGTCGTTAAAAAATAAACCACCCAAATGAGTTTATTGGTTTGAAAGATATTTGTTAATAAACCTGACAGGAAAAAAATCAAACCACCACCCCATTTTTGCCATCATAACGAGAATCTATAGAAGATTAATTTAGTCTTTGGGAAGTGGAACCACATGAGTTCTACCAAAAATGGCTGCTGGGCTTCTTAGATGTGATCTAAGCTCCCCGCAGAAGGCTGAGGAAGCTATGATTTGCTTAGTGACTGACTATTCCCACTCATGCTCATCAGATGGCTATTGATGACATGAAGTTCTCGTATCACCATGCTCAGGTCTTCGTGTAGTTTGACTATGGCATTTTTCATCTCCCCCAGGATAACTTTAATGGAACTGTTGGCTTCAGGTTCCTTCAGCAGGCCTTTGGTTGTCTGAAAACTTGGACAGGACATAGAAGTGAAGTGGTCTACATTTAGGGTGGAAAACTTTTCCCAATTACTGCCAGAAGCAGGACTTGTCTGCTTCTTGGCAGACTCAGAGTTATTTGGAAGACATTCCAGTAAATTGAGATTGTCAACTTCCTCTTCATCAGAAGACACTAGTCCCCTAGGAGCTAAGGGGTAATGAGCCCTGGCTGTCTCATCTTCATCTTTAAATAAAGCATATGAAGACTGTGGATGGGACAGAGTCCAGAAGGAAGGTCCAGCCAAAATCGGGGGTAAGAGATGAATAGACTTCTCTGGAGAGGCTGAATTAGGAGGGGACACAGAAAACGTAGAAAAGGAGGATGTTCCTTCAGAGACGGTCGAAACTAAAAGGTATAAAGGGGGAGAGAAAGATTATGTAACGTACAAGAGAGAGCCATAGCTAAAATATTTTTACAATGTAAAATCCCACTAGCAAAATCTCAATGTTAACATACTACTTGTAATTTTATAGGTTAAATATTCATAATAAGCCTAAAGACACCTGAAAGCAGGAAGTGGAGAAAAATCTAAAGATGTATTATATACCGATACTGCCATGGAAATGAAACTAACATAGAAATATCAATATTGATCCTGTGCCTAACCCTAACCCCTTTCCCTAATCCCTAACCCCCATCCGAACTCCTAACCACTGACCCTTACCCTTATCCCTCACCCTAACCTCTAATCCGTACCCATAAGCATAATCACGAACCCCTAACATCTCACCTAACCCTAACCACCAACTGCCTCCCCTACCCTGACCCTACCATTCATTAAAAAAAATAAAAAAGAAGTATCAATATTCACCTTGACTCTGAACCGTGCCCAACATATTTTTACACTGCACTTACCAGAGAGAGCAGAAAAGTAAAGTATTACACCCTATTCTACTGGCTGGTGGCATTTTAAGTTGGCATTTAAAGTAGAAAGTGTGAGAAAGCTGTAACTTAGATTTCTTCATCTTTTTTTTCTTCTACAGAGAATATTATGGCAAAATGAACAACCAACTATACGTACCCAAAAGCTGTGAAACAAACTTTTTTCTTTAACTGCTCAAATACAGTTGAGACTGAACTCCAACCTTCCGGAGATCTGGAACATTTGGGTATACATATAGAACTTTTTTTTTTCACCAAGAAACAAGAAGTAAAATAAAAAGCCTCCAACCCTTTCTCCGTAAAATTAAAAACTTGATAACATTTTAACTCCATTTCAGGCAAAATCATACTAAATCTCTTCTTTTGTACTTCATTCTAAATCATTATTTCCCAGCCCATGTTCTGAGGAATACTGTGTTCCTTAAGATGTAAAAAGATGTCTTGTGAAAACAGGATATTAAAGTCAGATAAGACTGGGCAATTGCATATCGTGCCTCTCTTTAGGAGATTAACGATGAACATTAGCACACTGAAAGTTCTGAGAAATCTATAGTAATTTATTCAAGTGGTTTCCAAACTTTCTTTGACACTGAACTGTTTCTTGTCTCAGAATATCTATTTACACTCGTGTGTGTCTTGGGTGGTACGAATCGGCAAAATCTGGTTCTAACATCTTTGCAGCTAACTCTAGACTTGTTACTTTAAAATAAAAAAAAGAAAGCTTCAGGCATCGAATAGGGAAATTAATGCTGACCTGTCAACACACATGACATATATATTATTTGCTTTACATCTGCATGTCCCTTTAAATTGAACCTCCTATAAAAAACATGGCTGGGGCAGGCGGCTTCTATTTTCTGCTTCAAAGCTCTCTGAGGCCCATCTCCAGCTTTTAGGAAAAATTCCAATCACAAGACATTTTGGGGGTGAAATGAGTATTCTCAGCCGATGCAGCAGCAGGACACGAGGAGGAAAACAGGAATTTCATCAGCACATGGTCAAGACAAGAAGAGCGCACAGAAGAATCTAGGTCAGACTTATCCTGATGTCTGTCCAGGGCCTGCTGGTGATGGGTATGCTAATGATGAGAGCCTCAACACGTGTGCGTCCTGGGTCACACACCCACTGTGCTCTGGGTCACAGCTGTCACCTGACATGGCCCTGCACCATCCTCATGTCGGATCTCCTGTTGTCTATATCCCTGGTCTTTATCTTTCTTGGTGTACACCCTTTTGGGGTAGCACATTCTCTGGCAGTTCACTGAAAAAGGATAACATGGTTATGTTAGTCATGTGTATGTGATGGGATTAAGATAACCTGGTTAACTTTAACCTGGTTTAACTTCATGCTAGGGGTTCTCAAAATGTGGTCCCGGAACATGCAGCAGCAGCAGTAGCAGCAGCGGCAGCAGCAGCAGCGGCAGCAGCACTTGGGAATTTGTCACAAATGAAGTTCTTGGGCCCCATCCCTCAAAACTACGTCAGAGACTGGGGTTGTGCCCTGGACGGAAAAGGAGTTTTAGCAAGGCTCCCGGTGTTTCTGATGCATGCCAAAGTCTGAGAATCACTGTTTTCTCCTCGAGGTCCACCTTTCTTTGGCTTTGTAGCTACAACTGCTGACTAACTGGCTTATCATTGTTTACAGTTTTGGAGCTTCGATTCACAGACTTTTGCTCATAAAAAGCCACTTCATCTCTAATTGCTGCACACCAATTTACTTTTGTTTCCAAACACACCACAGCTGTACCAGACACTTCAAGCTGCACTCCAGGGTGCCTCTCCTGCCTGTTAGTTAGCCTGCTCCGGCTCCACTCACCACCGGAAGGTATTTGACTACCTTGTTAACATTCATCCTCTTGATACAGTGTAGCCATCAGAGCTGAAATGCAGCAAATACGCAGCAAGAAATGGAGGCATTGAAAAATCTCCCCATGTGATAGATGCCTGCCAATTAGTACACTTGCTTAAAGACAGTACTGACGAAATGATCCCAAATGCTGATGGGTCGTCTCTAACTTTTTAAATTCAGGAAAAACATCAGACCAGTTAATTATTATATTGTAACTTTAAAATCAAAAAGCGTTTAGAAGAACTGCATTGCAAAAATATAACGACAAATACATTTCTAGGAATATTTTTAGACTCTCTTCAGCTATAGCTGTCAGTGTAAATTTTTCTGTTAGCAGCGGGTCCTTGGTCAACTTAACACTTCAAACTGTTCCCTGTAACACAGAGAAACTTTGTGTTCTTTGTCCAATTCTTCCCTCTCGGTGTCCCTGATGTATAATGACTGTCAAGGTCACTGTGCACATGAACTAAAATATTTTGATTTTGTTCTGTGATGTAAGAAGTAACATTTTACATAAATATCCACAGCAAAATTTGTCATAATACCTAAAAAGTGGAAACAACTCAAATATCCATCAACTGATGAATGGATACATAAAATGAGTTCATCTATACAGTGGAATATTACTCAGCCATAAGAAAGAGTGAAGTACTGATTCATGCGACTTGGATGAACTTTAAAAACACTGTGCCAGGGATCCCTGGGCGGTGCAGCGGTTTGGCACCTGCCTTTGGCCCAGGGCGTGATCCTGGAGACCCGGGATCGAATCCCACGTCAGGCTCCCGGTGCATGGAGCCTGCTTCTCCCTCTGCCTGTGTCTCTGCCTCTCTCTCTTTCTCTCTCTGTGACTATCATAAATAAATTAAAAAAATTAAAAAAAAAACACTGTGCCAGACACAAATGGCATATATTGTATGATTCCGTAACATTAAATGTTTAGGGGAGGCGAATCCAAGAGAAAGCAGATTCCTGGTTAGAAGGAAGTGCTAGGGGGAGGGAGGAATGGGGAGTGACTGCTAATGGATGCAGGACTTTTTGGGATGATGAAAATGTTCTGGGATTAGTGCTGATGACTGCACATCTCTAAAAATATACTAAAACCCATTCAATTGTATGCGTTAATAGGGTACATTTTCTGGTACCATGAATCAGATCTCAATTTTTAAAAATGTAATATTTGGAAATTCATTTTAGTATCATTATTATAAATAAGCTACATGAAAGAAACAGATTTAGGAATAACATAGGATTAGAGAGAAATGCCAATGAGTCTGCCCCTCATCGGAATACTAAATCGTTATTGGGACAGTTGGATTACTGGATTAATGATGACTTTTCTCACTTACCTATGACCTATAAATTTGGTTCACTGAATTTAAAAAATCAAATCAGTGTGTCTTTTTGTCTGCAAGAAGGGAGGCAGGAACTGTACAGCTGCAGCCGTGTCTGGGGGCAGCACAACTGGGTGCTGCCCTGACTTCCCTGACTGGTATGATTAGATTCCCTTCCACCCTCCACTCTGCATGCTGCTTCTGAACCGACCTGACCAGGAGCTCAGGGCTGGCTAAGACTGTGCAGAGCTGTTTATTACCATTTTCCCCATTTCTTTTTGGGAAATGTTCATTATCCTGGCTCTGAAAATTTTAGACAAAAAGTTAGAGGGTGTGTGTGTGTGTGTGTGTGTGTGTGTGTGTGATGTTTGGTTTCTTTCCTTAGCAAAGATGAGCTGAAAAACAGCTCTACAGAACAACCACTACTGAAATCCAGAATACAAAAATGGAATCAATGAGCTATAAACAAAGGATGGAGCCACTGAGAATGCTCACCACCATCCCAGCATGAGAATGTATAGGTTTTTTTCCTCCCCCCAAAATTAGAAAGTAAGTCCAGAGTCGTCTAACACGCTTACTCAAACTGTGGATCATGAATATAATGTTATATCTGGCTTCTGCGCACCTACTCTTTTTTTTCTTTTCAGTGTGCGTGACAAACGATCTAATGACTTAAAGGAATAGTTTGACCTACAGATAAATAACTTAAAATTTAAATGGAAGAGGAGTGAGAATGGGCTGGTCTAGGAACAGGGTTATTTAGTATCAAAAGGTCAAAGGAGGTCGCTGCAGCAAATCTGTCATTTGATGAAAATACTAGCGTGCCGCCTTGGCCAGATCCCTGGTGGCTGAGATCTGCTACAATGTGAGTGCACAAGTTTTTTTTTTTTTTTTTTAAAGATTTTACTTATTTATTCATGAGAGACACAGAGAGGCAGAGACATAGGCAGAGGGAGAAGCAGGCTCCCTGCAGGGAGCCCGATTCAGGACTCTATCCCAGGACTCCCGGTTCACAACCTGAGCCAAAGGCAGATGCTCCACCACTGAGCCACCCAGGCATCCCAGTGTGCAAGTCTTTTTAAATTTACCCAGCTCATTATCTCCAAAGAGTTTATACCACCAACTGGCCCAGAGCCTTCATACACACAAATACTTCTTAAAACAATAAAAGATAAAAAACAGAAAATAGACACTGACTTTTCTAGCCTCCATCACGCAGCGCCCATGGAGACTAGCCTTAAATCCTACCTCATCATTTCCTGAATTTCTCAACCAGGAGTCACC